TAATCTTATTTAAGGGTATTATAATATAGGAGAAGCCCTTAATAAATATCCTATAATAGTTCGCGAACCTAAGGAAGCTCTATACGCCTATCTATATAGTTAGGGTAGCTTAGTCTTAAATCGCTTAGATCTTTATAGGGTCTGCCTATATACCTATGCCTACGTAGATAATAAAGCCTAGGTACTTAACCCTCTTAACCCTAAATTCGTACTTATTTAGGTCGAGGTAGAGCCTATAAAGTTAAAGGCGCTCTAAGACCCTTCGTACTTTCTATATATAGTCCTTATAGGAGCCGCTTATATAGATAAGGATATTATCTATATATATAAAGGTAAACTTATCGAGGAAGTCCTAAAGCACGTTATTAATATAACGCTAGAAGGTAGCGGGCGCTCCTAAGAGGCTAAAGGGCATTATAAGCTACTCGAATAAGCTATAGCGTATATAGAACGCCGTCTTCTACTTATTACCCTCTAAGATCTATACCTTATAAAATGCTTATTTTATATCTAGCTTTATAAACTACTTCGCCTTTAAAAGGTTATAGAGCGTATTTAAGATTAAGGGTAAGGGGTAGCGGTCTAGCCTTATAATTACGTTTAGGGCCCTATAGTCGTAATAGAACTATATCCCGCCCCTTAGTTTATATATAAATAGGACTAGCGCTCTTACTTTAGAGCTACTTACTTAAATAAAACCCTTATTTAAGAGGTCCCTTAGCGTCTTCTTTAGCACTAGTAGCTCTGCGTATAATATACTATATAGCGGTCTAAACGGTATAGGTAGTTCCTACCCCTTCTTATTAGTATAGAGTACGATCCTATAGTCTACCCTTAGCTTATATAGGTTAAGCTTATCTACTTCCTAGGACTTAAATAGCGGTAGGAGGTCGTAAAAGCGCTCCGGTATTTATTACTATAGCTTAGAGGGCGACTTTAGCTTCTTTATTTAAAGGGCCTTATCGATATCCGCTAAGCTAACTACGTAGACCGCTACGTTAGCCGCTGCCTAGCCTTACCCCCGCTCTACTTATCGTATAGTTCCTACGAAAATAGAGGTAAGGACTTCTTATACTAAGTATAAAGCTCGCACGCCTAGTCCTACGCTTATAGAACTATCGTTATAGCGGACCTACCGTTATATAGGCTTAAACTATAGCTTCCTTTAGTATAGAACCGAGTATAACTTTATATATAATAACTAGGGTTTCCCGAGGATTAAGGGAAACTTTAGTTAAGGGATTATATAGGCTACGATAAGCTTATAGTAACCGTCGACCTCTATAGCTAGCTATATAATACCCCTAATTACTATACCCTCTATTACGCTTAAGGCGCTCTTTACTCGCCTTAGGGCGATCTTTTCTACCGGTACTTATATCTCTCGTATAAGCGCCTCGTTAACTATAGCGTAGCACTAGTAGCCCTCGTTTATAAAGGCGGTAATAGGTAAAGAGTTATTAATTATAACTTATATTAAAGTAAGCTCCTCTTTTATATAGGCGGATAATTCTTCCTTCTCCTTTACTAATACTAGTAATTAGGGCTCTAGAGCCCGTCTTTACTCCGGAGCTACTCTTTTTCCTCTAAGCCTAGGGGGGCGGAGTCCTCCTTATCGTCTAAGGCGAGGAGCGGTTCTATCTTCGCTACTCGAACCGCTATAGGCCGCTTAGCTAAAAAGAAGGGGTATTTTAATATAAAGTACGTAGATACTCCGTAACGTAGGTAGCGGCCGTTAGCCTTCCTCTTCCTAATTTCCTCGCTCGTTACCTACTTCGCCCGCTACTTAGAGTGCGGGGCGGTATAAGGGGTAGTTAACGGCGTCTTCTTACCGCGTCTAGCCCGGTCCGTGCGGGTAGCCGATATTAGGGTGTCCCTATCCGTATCGATAGCCGGTTATTTATCTTACGGAGGGGCGGTAATCCTATCGCCGCTATACGGCGTGCGCTTACGGAGCTTCTAGAAACGCGGCGTCTACTTATAGCCCTAAGCTACCTTTATTAACTAGCTTACGTACTCGCCGTAGTTAGTAGGTATAATTACGGGGATAAGTAGCTCCCGTAGGGCTAGCGTAATCGAATTCTATAGCTATATAAGCTTCGCGCTATCTTCTTATACTATAGTCCCCGCTACCCGTAAGAGCGTCTCTTTAAAATTAGGAAGGAATTCGCTAAAGGTTTATCCGTCTCTTTACTTAAGGGTCTATAGCCTATCTTACGCCTTCTCCCGCTCCTATACGTTGCTAAACGTATATATAAGGTATTAGAAGAAGTCTTATAGGTCGCGTCTACTACTAAGGCCGCCCTTATCCTAGAATCCGGAGATCCGCTATATCTAGGGCTCCGGTAGCGTATAAAAAAGCGAATACTACGCTATATCGCGATAGCTATTTAAGCCCTATTTCTCGTCGGTTATAAACTTTATCTATAGCCGGCTAAGGAAGAAGTAAAAGGACTCTAGCTTACCGTCCTAAGTCGGCTAAGGGAGCGGCTTCCTTATCGGTAGTATCGCCGTCGTAACCGGCGTTATAGAGGCCGTAGGGGTTAAAGCCGGTCTCATAGACGGCTCCCTTAGTATAGCGAGAACCTCGTCCTTTTCGCTAGCCGTCGCGCTTTTAATCGCTTTTAGGATAGCTACGATACTTCCTATCTATCCGGGGAGGGGCGGAGTGCTTCCTCGAGGGGGAAGCGCCCTCTCCGGAGAGATATCTATTAGATCTATTAATTAATAGCTTATACTATCACGGAGTAGGTAGAGGCGTACGCGTAGGTACCGTCCGTAGGATAATATTAATAAGCTATATAGAGCTCTTCTATACGCGGCTAGCCCGCCCCTATACTTATAGGATCCGGCCCTCTATACGTAACTATATAGCTTAGGCCGCGGCCTAAGCCTATTACCTATAATAGTTAAAGACTCTTATATTAATAACGTATTATTAGTATAGCTCTTTATCTTAAAGAGCCGTTTAACTACTACTTATACCCTACTAAACTATATACTTAAGATAAAGCCTATAAGTTTATTATATACTACTTTTTCTATAAGGTTACTTAGCGCTTAGGCTAGTATTATATTACTACTTTAGGTTTATTAACTCGCCTTATTAAGGTATATAAATTTAGGTAGTATCTCTTTATATTATATACTTTAATTAAGCTTAGTATATCGTAGGCCGCTACTATATTTACTTACCCCTTAGCCTTAGTATAGTATTATTATTAAGGGTAATTAATACTACTAAATTAATTCTTAGTATTAACTAGTATTTTAGTCGTAATATATACTTACTATAAGTATATATTAGTTTTATAAGAAGTTTTTTTTCGCTATATATATTAAAAGGCTCTTAACTAGCTTAAAGGCTTTTTATAATATATAGCTATATTAATACTTTAGCTACTTAAAAATCTTTAATAATAAGCTAGCTAAGAAAAGCTTAAAGGCTTTTACTTAAGGGACTTCTTTAGTTTTTATTAGCTACTTATAAAGAAAGGTTTAAGAAGCTATTAAGGACTATTAAAAGGGCTTTTAAGCTATTAAGGCAGCTAAAAGCCTTAAAGCTAAGGGCTTAAGTAAATACTATATATTTATTTAAAAGACCCTTTACCTAGCTTTTAGCTTAAAAAAGAACTTTATTAAAAAGCTTAAGCTAACCTTTTAAGCTTTTTACTAGCTCCTTTTTAAAGCTAGTTTTTTATTTTCCTTTTTAAAAAAAAAACTAATAAAATAAAGTAAAATTAATCGTACTTATATATATATCTTTAATTATACTTATACTATATTTTTAAGATATATATTAATTCTAACTTACTTACTTACTTATACCCTATAAAGCTAGTAAGTATTTATACCGCTTAAATACTTATACCTATACTTACGCCCGCTTATATATATTAATATATACTTTTAGCTATATAACGTAAGACCCTTATATAAAGCTCTTACTACGCTACTACCTATATAGCTATAAAGGCTAAAAGAAGAATATAATTAATTAATAGGCCTATTATTATAACTTTAAGCTTAAGGCTTAAAAATATATTATTTAAGCAAATTAAAAGGTATATATTATATAGCTAAAAGTATATTATAATATATATAAGTAGGTATAAGTATAGGTATAAGTATTTAAGCGGTATAAGTATTTAAGCGGTATAAGTATTTAGGCGGTATAAATACTTACTAGCCTTATATAGTATAAGTAAGCGGGATAGGCTAGCGCTAGTATATATCTTAAAAAATAAAGTATAAGTATAATTAAAGATATATATATAAGTATAATTTAAAAATATATATAAGTTTAATTAGTTCTACTTATAAAATAAACTAAGATAACTATTATTATAGCTAAGAAAGGTATATAGCTAAGTACCTTATCTTAAGGTACTTAAACTATAAAAGGGAAAGAGAGGTCCTTTATTAAGCCTTAAAGGGATAAAAAGAGGCCCTTAGCCTACCTTTTTTCTATAGCTCTAAGAAAGAAAAGGAAGCCCTTTTAACCTTTTTAGCTAAAATAAAGATAGGAATAGCTAAGTAGCTTAAAAAAGAGTAACCTAGGGGCCCTAAGGCCCTTAAAGGGGGAAAACACTATATAAAAGGAACTAAACTTACCTTTCCTTTATCTTTACTTTTATAGCTACCCTTTCCTTAATTAGTTATAAGCCCCTAGGCTCTATAGCTAGCTAAGATTATTAATAGGGGCCTAGGCCCTTATTAGCTTCGCTATAGCCTTAGAGGCTATATACGAGTAATTCCTTATCTATAAAGTATATCTACCTCTACTATACTTAATAGCACTAAATACCGGCAGAGTAGGTCTAGGTCCCTAGGTTGGTCCGTACTAGCGCACCCGCCTTAAAGCCCCAGTCAAGACTCCGACACCCCTCTTAGGTACCCCGGATATTCCTCTCCAAACCATCCCCCGCCCACGTTCTTCCGCGACTCTGCCTGAGCTCGCGAGTCCAACCCCCAGTGCCCAGTCTTTCAATGTTCCGAAAATGCCGCTACGGCAAGCAGCCTTTGACGATTATGCCGTCGCGATTCCACAGGCACGTCTCTCCCCCGCTTCCACTCCACGCCTCGCAGTCGCCGTCCCTCGTCACGGTCGGCTAACTGTGTTCACCAGATCATACTCTCGTCTTCAGACTCAGACTTTCCCGACCACTTGATTCCGGTTCTGAAAGACGCAGCCAGCTCCAAAAAAACACCCTCGTTGATTCAATGCCTCACTCGCTACTCCGACGACCGCGAAGCCGACATCGAACGCATCGGCCTCACTAAACATGAGGAGTTCCTCGATTCCGTGGGCAGACTGCAGCATGTCCGCGACGGCACCGTCGCCCTGACGTCTGAGATACTCAAACTCAACCAATCCATCCAAGCCAGCACAGAAAAACTCGCCGAGCAAAAGGGCGCCCTCGTGAACACCACCGCCATCCGCCAGAACATCGCCGACGCCACAAGCGCCCTCCGGGAATCGCTCAAAGTCTTGCATGCGCTCAACAACTCCCATGATCTCGTCCGTCGCAAGAAGTACTACTCGGCGCTCAAATCACTCGAGGACCTCCAGAATGAACACCTGGTTCCGATCCTCCAGAACCGCTATGCGACCCAGCACCGCCTGGCTGACGTCATCCAAAAGTCGATACCTGGCTCTCAAAAGACAATATCGGAAGCCGTCATGACAGACTTGAATACCTGGCTGTTCCGTATTCGAGAAACCTCACAGTTCCTGGGCGAGGTGGCCTTCTACCATACCGAGCTGCGAAGGTCCAGACAACGAAAGAGGGTCGAGGACGACCAGTTCCTATCCAACTTTAAGCTCAACTCCGCCATCGAGCTCGTATGCGATGAAAGCGAGGAGTTCGACGTGCTCAACAACGAGGAGCTTCAGGTCGACTTTACTCCGCTGTTCGAGGCGTTGCATATTCACGACGCTCTCGGCCAATGTGATCGATTCCGGTCCGAATACGCCGCCACCCGTCGACAGCAGAAAGATCTTCTTCTCCCTAACTCCGTGGAGCTTCTGGCGGATGACGAGACGTCTCTCAGCAGCCTATTGGAAGGCATTACTGGCTTTGCCATTATCGAGAAGGCAACAATGCGCCGTGTGCCTCAATTGCGCTCACCGGCGGACGTGAGTTGACCATCCCTTCCCAAGAGCCCCACATCTCGACTGAGGGCTGACGCAGTGCCGTATCGCTTCCAGGTAGAAGAACTCTGGGAGTCCATGTGCAGCGCGGCCATCACGTTGACGTCGAGGGCAATCAATGATGTGGGCAATGCCGAGGTTCTGCTCAAAATCAAGGGTTTCATCGCCTTGTTTGTCCAAACTATGGAGGTATTTTGGGCGCCCCCCCGCTCATCCAAGCACCGCTGACTTGAACCCAGGGTTGGGGATACTCGATTGCCACGCTAGACACGTTCCTCCTCACACTATTCGACAAGTACGCTGAGCTCCTTAAACGACGGTTCGGTGAGGATTTTCAAGAGGTTTGCCTCCCTTCCGTGTCCCGCCACGACTCCGAAACTCACCGACGCATAGATTGTTTCGACCGATGATTACATGCCCATGGCCATCAACTCTCTCGAAGAGTATGAAAAAGTCATCAATGTCAGCTGGTTCATCCATGACCAACCGATAGAGGAGCTCGCGTGCGTTATACGTCTCATGACATGGATAACACTAACAATGGGCAGGTTTCCCTGTGTGCTGCCGTTCTCACAGATGTACCCCTTGTGCTGCATCGACATAAGAAATTTCCTCAACCAGTTTTACTTCTTTTCCGACGATCATTTTCAGCACTCCGATGTCATAGACGAAACACTCAGAAAGGTACATGTGTTGCGCTTTCAACCCGTGTTGCTGCCAGTTTGGAGGCTAACAGGGCTCCAATAGTCACTTGATGAGCTTCTTACGGAAAAGGTCTGCCAGTCTTTGGTCGAGCGTTTGAGCTCTCAGTACCTCGGCCAGATAGTACAAATACTCATCAATTTGGAACATTTCGAGATAGCATGTCAAGAGCTGGAACAGCTCCTGGTCAGAGCGAGGTCATCAACCTCGGCCGGCGGCCCGCTGAAGCTGAAAGCAACCGAGAAATTCCGCAACAACAAGAAGACCGCCGAAAAGCGAATATTTGAACTTGTCAACAGCAAAATAGACGACCTCGTTGACACGGCAGAATACGACTGGTAGGCTTGGACCTCTTTCCCTTCGTCTTACCCTGTTCCCCTCCCCCCCGCCATTGTGACTGACGCTGAGGATCGCTGGCAGGTTGGCCTCGAATGTGACAACCGAACCCAGCAACTACATGCAAACCCTGACACGTTACCTGTCAAACATCATGAACTCCACACTACTCGGCCTGCCGCGCGAAATCAAAGAGCTCATCTACTTTGACGCCCTGAGCCACGCGGCAAACAAGATTCTGGTTCGACACCTCGCCAGGAATCGGAGCCGTTAGTCAGCAGGGCTAACACTTGCACAGGCTCTTCCATTGTCGCCGGACGTGAAGCACATCAACGCGCACGGGGTTTCTGCGCTGGCTCAGGATGTGCAGTATTTGACCGAGTTTGTCAGCAGCCTGGAGAATGGGCAGATGTTGAAGGAGAATTTGGACGAGCTTCAACAAACCATCAATCTGATGCAATCTGACAACCACGAAGAATTCTTTGATATTTCTACTCGTAACAAGAAGTACGGGCGAGTGGACGCTCTTAATGGGCCGCTTCTGCTGGAGAAGTACGATGCAATGTCTCTGGCGCACCTTTAATTGGCACTGACACGCAACGCAGGCTCACGCCGGTCACTCAAGCTTCCGGAAGAACCGCACCGCTGTCCAACCTGTCATCGCGCTTCGCCATGATGAAGTGAAACGAGACCGACTGAGAAGGGACCAGGCCCGAAGCGGTAGTTTCCATATGCGATCACTAGCTTAGGGGACGGCAGCCTTGATCAGATTTTGAAGGTGGTTCTGTGGCTTTTCAAGCTACAGGAGCTGTACAACAGACTGCAAATCCGTCACCGAGGACAGGCGACGCGTTGACCGAGAGTCCTGTACCCCGGACCAAATGCCCTTTGGGCAGTCGATTGCCGATAGGGAATATTACGGGGGATTCCGCCTCATTCAAACTCCTCGGATGACATGGGTGCCTGGATTTGGTGAGCTGAGTTCGCACAGAAGTAGAGAAACTTGGATTACCTGCTGGGGTTGCATCGTGGAGTACGGGTACATGCCCTCCATCTCTCCATACATGGATCCCGGCGCCTGGGCTTGGCCATATGGAGCCGTCGGAGCTTGAGGAACCTGACCGGGATACATGTTGGTACTCTGGCGATAGTCCTGCTCCGTGGCCAGATGGTGGCCGCTCATGTAATCGGCTGGCGCCATGGGATGAGGGCCGTGATTAGCTCCTTGGCCCATGCCAGCATGTTGACCAGGCATTTGGCCTGGGCCCGGAGCCGCGGGCACTGTCTGGGCATTGGCGGCGGAGGGCTGCGCAGCAGTTCTCTTTGCGTGAGACGAGGCCTCTTCCCGGGGAACAATGTCAATCAAGAAGTCAAACATGTCCGACTTGGCGAGAGCCGAGGCGATGTCGGAGCGTTGGAGCGTGCGGCGCTTGTTTTCCTCGGCGTGTATCCAGGCGCGCATGGTGAGCTCGGTAATGAAGATATCACAACCCTTGGCAAAGAGAATTGGGGCTTCGGCAGAAATCATCTTGACTTCAGGGTCGGCCTTCATGACCTTTTTGATCCGCGCGAGGGGCAGCTGATGTATCTTGTAGTCGTGAGCATCACTTTCCAGGTGAGTGATGGTTTGCTGCCAGTACGTGGTCAGGATGTCCTTGTACTGGCCAGTCAGGCCCTGGTGAACCTGTGCGCAGTGCACGAATTAGCCTTGATGAGCCATCTCAAGCAGTGAAGGGAGGCAAAAGTACAGACGTTGGCCCATGGACCAGTGTAGAGCTCGGCGGGAGCGAAGCCCTGCGCAGCTAACTGAACCGCCAGGTCAGAACCCGCTGGGCAGATTCATAGGGGCGGGAGATAGAAGGCCACGTACAGCAGCGCAGGCGCCTATTAATCAACGGAAGAATCCCGTCAGCCTTTCCATGGAGAATCAACGAAGAGAAGGCGACTGACCATAGTGACCGCCCTGGGTAGGATCGTATGCCGGCGCAGACCGGCTCTGCTGAGGATGCGGCTGCGCGGGCTGAGCTTGCGGGTCCATTCTACCGATGAGAAACCCGGCTGGCTCGGGCGAATAAGCTGGAACGGAAGTAGATGCTGCCAGTCGGGCGCGGACTGGCAGATGGCGGATAAGCAAGCTTCTGGGATCGAACAACGCGCCGGCGATGTACTGGGAAGGGTGATGGCAGACGCGATCAACGGATCATGAAGCTGTGCGTTGTCGGATGGCTTGATCGGAGGGGCGATGAACCGATGAGAGCAAAGCTAGTGTTGAATAAACGAGATGGATGCCGATGTTGGAGAGTAAAAGAGCCTGGAGAGGATGGGAGGGGGCAAATGGCTCGAGGGGTGATTGAGAGAGATGGTGGGAAATGAATGAGCGACAACGAGCAGAGCATCAGCGCAGAGTGTTTAGGTACCTTCCGAGGTACCTACCGACCGCGCGAGACCGTATTATGTAAGTGCCAATTCACAGACTTTAAAACTTTAGCCTGGTGGGGTTAGCTAATCCGAGACTTTTTCTTCTCTTCCCTGCCCGCCCCTAGAGGGTCTGGGAAAGAAATTTCATCCTTCAGCCCGAGTGCTTGCCGCCCGTCGACGCTATCATCGGGCGAATCATGCCGGGCATCCTTGATGACGAGGTCGACGAGCTGCTTCGCGAAGCCGAGCAGCGCCTGCACGAAATCCCTGCGTTCTCTCGTCCAGGGCCCCCAGGGTCGATGAACAGGATTACTGCTCTTGACCAAAAACCCAATACGCACCAAGCACCACTTGCGGTGCGCCAACCGCAAGCAACTGCGTCTCGAGCAGAGTCCAAGAATGTGAGTTAACTCGGCCTTCTACTTGTGCTGCTTCCTCTTGAGCGGATATCGTGATGACAAGGAGCCGCTCACGGCTTCATGACACGAATAAGCATCCGTCTTGGATGGTTTTCCGTGGCTCCATGATTTCATTTACATCATAGTTACTCTGATTCTTACTTCTGCTGCCAAAACATGGAGACTCCCCAGAAGTCCTGTTGGCCCGCTTTGCTTTGCAGACACAAAACTTGCGTGTTGTCTGCTGCTGACTTGCGACCTATAGGATACGGCTGGGCCAAACTGGTTCAATCTGCCAAAGACGGTCCTCACTCCCGAGTTCAAAAGAGACTGGCAGCTCCTGCGCATGCGTGGGCTACTCGATCCCAAACACCAGAAAAAGGCGTTGCCGTCGGCTCCCCCGGGATATTCCCAAATTGGCGAAGTCATATCCGGGCCGGCTGACTCTTACGGCGCAAGGCTCACGCGCAGGGAGAAAAGGAGAACGATTTTCGAACAAGTCACGGCTGCACACGATGGCGACAAATTGAAGAGCAAGTATGCTGGCATCCAGCGCAGCAAGACTTCAGGAAAGAAGGCTTTTTACCAGCGGCTTCTCTCTCAAAGGCGGAAACGACAGAATTGAAGGCCCCCCTTTGCGACGTCTACCCGTCCAAGGGCGTACATGGACTCACTCGCCATCCAAGGCGCGGAGTGCTAGGAGCCCCGACCGAAGAAGGGCGATAGCCACCAATCAAGGTGACCGTGGAAGCACTACCTAAGATGCCAGGTGGGTTTTGCGATATTCTCTTGCTGTCCTCTTGTAAGCGCGCCCAGAGAGTTATGGATTGTTGAGGGATGTATCGACCACTGGCATTGGCAAATTGGGACTGGTTAGGATCCCATCCGCTCAGCTCCTTGGCCTCGTATGTATTTATATTCACGCCCACGCGCTCTTCTCCTGCAAGGCTCGCGTCAAGACGTGTTCGTCGCTGAGCGTCAACACATTAAGCCAGACGCTGTGGACAGTCGTCGGTTTTACTTCCAGAGTCACCAGCCGGCCAAACATGTCATCACGCAGCAGAGACCTACCCAACAGAGATGCACTCTGCACTGCCATGGGCGCGATTATGTATGGAACTTATCATACTCCGTAGTCGTGTATAATTTCAATTTTCAGCCGGTTATGGATAGTCAACATGCCCGTCTGATCCTGGTCACACGGGCGGGCAGGACGTTTTAAGAAATTTGGTGTGCGTGGATGAGGTAGAGTTCCTTCGCGGCATACGTCGCAAATATTGCTGGCTTGTGCACAGCTGGCCCCGGATTTTCTCCTGCTCCGTCCTGACAACGACACCAGCAGATATTACGGCAGCCGGCCACAAGAAGTTAATGAAAACCTCGTCACAGGATGCTTCGCTCTGCAGAAAGGCCCCTGGGACGACTCCAGGTACATCTGTCCTCGGTGCATGGTGCATCGTCCGCCCATGCTAACACTGCCCAGGTCGGAGCGTTCTGGAGAGCGCGGAGGACCCAGGCCTCGCTGTACGTCCCCTTCCGCACACAATGGACGACGCCGTTGCCCAGCACCTCTGCTAATTTCTGCAGCGTGTCGGGAGACAAAGACTCGGGGCAACCATCGCTCGTCTCTGCGAACAATGAGAGGACGCAGCCACCGCGCCGCCCACGCTCTCTTCAAGCGATTTATCTCAAGCCTTTGAAACGCGAGGCCGAGTTCGGCATCCCCTCGTGCGACCTGCAGCTGCGATCGTTCAGTATTCAGCCCCTCGAGTTCTTCGCCGATTTCGCATTGCGGGCCGCCTATTACCTTGGTTTGCCGGCGTACGGACCTATCCCGCTACCGCGAATCACGGAAAGATGGACAGTCCCCAAGAGTCATTTCATCTTCAAAAAGGCGCAGGAGAACTTTGAGCGTGTAACACTACGGCGTATGATTCAGGTCAAGGATGGAAATCCCGAGACGGTGCAGCTGTGGCTGGCGTACTTGCGGAAGCACCAATACTACGGCGTGGGTATGAAAGCAAATATGTGGGAGTTTGGTCAAACAGGCGTGGGTCGGACCATGGAACTGCCCCAGGATCAACTGAAGGAATTGGAGTCGTCATGGTCGCATCTGGGGCAAACCAAGAATATTGGCACGGCTCGCGAGGTGGAAGGACTACTGAGCAGTCGCCGCTTTCAAGAGGTTGTCGGCTCCTCTCGGCCTCAAGGTGCCGCTGGCGGCAAATAGACGAGCTGCCTGTCCCCTTAACAAAGTCGGTGGACTTTCTGTCTCATCGTTCCAACCAGAGAGGGAGAGAGGCCTGCCGCGACAGCCCACTCGTCCCATAACGTTTCCTCTGCCTCTCCGCACCCACTCAACACCCCCATCAAGCACTAATAAACAGGGAGTAATTTAGTCAAGTGTGTTCAACAAGGCTGCTTCGGACTATGCTAGGTAAAGGGATAGCGGTGGAATATAATTTATTATGTAGTGTACTACTCTTTAGCTATTTGCTTGTTCGTACGAAGATGTTATCTTGCTTTCTAAGCTGGGTGTTTTAGCCTAAAAATCCATGTTGGCTCCTTGAAGGCACTCGGTGCCTCCCCCCCCACCTTAAACTCAGGTATGCTCTCCGCAGCACAGCAACAGGCCAAATTCTGATCTCGCCCTCTCCGCAAGAGCTGATTACCGACACTTTCCACTCTCGCAGCACTGCGCATCGCATCACCTTTACATTCCCCGCTGTAGCACGGGCCCAACGGTGGGCGACGATGAGCATTCGCCAAGCAGCAGCTCAAAATGGAAGACGCGGCGCCACCATTGAGTCTTGATCAGGTGGAATCCGTTCGTGCAGCCTAGACGACGAGAGCCGCCCACCCGTGGCTAACCTGCCCCAAGTTGATATTTTCTCTTTATCAGCGGAACCATCCAGATGTCATTGTTGCAACACAGGCGTCGCTGTCGCAGTTTCAGGGCTCGCCTCAGGCTTGGTCCATGATCCACTTGCTTCTGGAGCGGCCTGACGAAAAGGTTAGGTTCTTCGGTGCCCTCACCGTCATCATCAAATTAAATAAGGAGAGGTATGTCCAGCCACTCGAGGCCCGGTGCCGCAGACGACACAACTAACCGTGCGGGCAAAGCTCTTCGCTCAGCGATGCAGAGGCGAATGAGCTCCTCGTCCACCTCGTTGGCTGGTACCTGGACGCCCTCAGCCAGGCCTATAGTCCACTTGTCTCGAGGAAGCTTTCGTCTGCAGTTGCAACGCACTTCATTCACTTTCACCGGCTTTGGCCGCGTTACCTCCGCCATCTCATTGTGTGTCTTGCGTCGCGCCAGTCGCACAGCCTCGACGCCATTGATGGCACTGTCGACACCGCTGCCGTTTTGGGCAATCTCCAGCCCGGGCAACTCCAGGCTGCGTTATGGGTCGTCACCAGTGTCATGGAAGACGTCTCGAGGATTGACCTGAACACGAACAAGTACGCCATGATCCAACTTACCTCTCCCGTCTCTCCCTAGACAAAGTAGCAATCCAAGAGTGCAGGAAGACGACGAGGCTTCACTGACTCCTCGGTAGAGGACTCTACGATGCTTTATTGCAGACCGTTACAGACGCCGTGGCTCTCATGGCCACAAGCTTTACCGTACCAAATGGTACGCCTGCAACCCATGGCGACTCTACACGGTGTTTCCAGGTACAGATTCTGTTCCCTAGGCCTCCGTCCTTTCCATTATCCGATCCCTCCCGACTCACATTCGCTTCAGTCGTGGGTCTGGTTCGCCCAGCGAGCAAGTTCTGGGGATAACCCTGTTGTCAACTCCCTGAAACCCCTCGCCGAAGCAGTCATCGCATCGCTTTCAGTTGAGGAGCTGTTTGACAGCTCTGCGGAATTGCTTGTAGACATACTCGCCAACTGTCCGTCTCTACTGACCCACAAGCACTACGAATACATGGCTAGCCTTTTCGAGGCCCCCTGGGCCCAAGAACGCTACCGTAGGCTGCTGCAAGGCGACTTCGAGTTCGATTCGATGCAGTTTGGCCAGCTCCTGCTTGCTTTTGGCGAGGCAAAGGCAGAGGCGCTCATGCAGAGCAGCGACGAGCTAAGTCAGCGTTTTCTGGCCATGCTTTGCGGCCTGCTTGCTGCAGAAGGCTTCCCAGTCGTAAATGACAAGATCTTTGTCTCCGCCATCGAGTTTTGGTCGACATTCATAGAAACCTTGGCTGACATGGTCCACTTTGACCAAGACGCGTCTTCGGCTCCATGGGCACCGTCGGCCATATCCCACGCGCTCGAGGCAGTCTCAAACGCATGGCACAAAATCACCTATCCTCCGTCCGAGGAATTCAACCAGTGGGACTCGAGTGACCGTGTCGGGTTCCACGACGCGCGAAAGGATGTGGTGGACTTGCTGCAAGCTGCATATACCATTGTTGGGCCTCGCCTGGCTATGAACTTTGCAAACTTGACTCTCTCGGCCCTGGCGAGCTCGGCATGGCTTCCGCTCGAGGCGGCTGCATTTTGCCTTGGAGGCCTCGCAGACTGCGGCAGGGAAGACCTCAGATTCGACCAAGCCCTGACTTCCGTCTTCGCCTCACCCCTCTTCTCCATTCTCCAAACCCACGACTCCCATGTGCACCCCCGTACACGGCAAACCTGCCTCTCACTCATAGAGCAGTATACCGAGTATTTCGAAAGAAACGTGGACTTTCTTGCCCCGGCTCTGCGTCTCTTGTTTGCCATGCTTCGCGAACAGTCCATGGCAGCATCGGCGTCAAAGTCGATACTGCGACTCTGCTCTTCTTGCCGGCATCACCTCCACACGGAGACTGATGGCTTTCTTGATGAATATAAAACTCTCCTCAGCGGGAAGCGGCTCGATTGCTTATCCAGCGAAAGGGTCCTGGGGGCCATTGCTTGCATTGCACAGGCTATCCCCGACACCGACCGACGACATATTGCCTGTGCCGAGATCCTGGAGCTCATCGAGAGCGATGTTGAGCTTGCTCAAGGACTCGCCGCAGCAACGGATCCAAGCAGTAGTATCTCTTGTCAAGGCTTGCGCTGCTTTGGAAACCTCGTCGACGAGCCTCCCGCTTTGCATGTTGGTCTGGGAGCATTACGAGGCCTGGTCAACGTCGGGAGAGGCTTCCAGTCGCCGTCTGAGCCCGCAATTGACCTCGACGCCGACCATTGTCGACTGTACACACTTAGCGCCGGCCTTGTGCCTCTCCATGAAAAAATCATGGGCCTTGTCTTACGGCTCGAGGATACCTTTGGCGGAAGCTCAGAGGTGACGGAGCTACTCTGCAGCCTCCTCCGCTGTGGGTTCTCAGAAACCGATCCCGGCCCGTTTGTTTTCCACCCAGAAATGGTGGCACATTTCTTGACGAGCCATACGGGAGACACGCCAAGGATAGGTCTGCTCGTCAGCACAGGCTGTTCCTTTGTGAGCTCGATGCATTCTCGTGGATGCCCAGACCGGCAGAAGATACTTGGCGCGTTGCTTATTTGGGTTATCAGCCTGCTCAAGCAGATATCCGGTATGATGGCCGTAAAGTTTCTACCTTGAGGGTGACCACATAGCCTGACTTGTATACAGAGCCGGAGCGTGACCCGGAGCTAGCACAAAACGGAGTCGAGTTCGTCTCACGGGTCTTGTCCAGATCCCCGGCCACCGTGCTGGGCTTGCAACCCGTGGACGCAGCCGAGTTCCTTTTCATGTTTACTATTCGCGTTCTTGACGGGAAAGAGCCCCTGCCGAAAGTCGCCGCCGCAGAATTCTGGGTACGTTGCAACTTGGGCTTTCTTGCAATCGCCGACCAAGTCTCGGCTGCCGGAGAGCGATTTGTTCTGACTCGTTACAAGACGACCTTTGTTGGCCTTCAGAGCGACAACCCGGAGTCGCAAGAAGCCATCAAAGGCGCCATGGATGCTCTGGGGCCCCCGTTGACACAGAGCCTGGCGAGAAACATCGGGGGCAACGCCTCACGCAGTGAGCTGGACAGGCTGAGCGAGCCGGTGAAGAAGTTGGTCAGTCGCCACCCCAAGGCAAGAGAATGGCTGCAGTCTGGACTGAGCCATTCTTCATTCCCGAGCGACAAGGTCAGTTCAGAGCAGAAGATTCTGTTTGTGAAGAAGTTGGTAAGGTATGTACCATCCATCAGCTCAGTCCTGGCCCTTTGTACCGACCTCTGCAGAATCGTCGCTGAACCATGGACGTAGCTTGCGAGGCTCAAGAGCGACGAACCAAGTCATACGAGACTTTTGGCTCTCTGCCAGGGGTAGTAATTTTGCCTATGTCTCATGATGTGCACATAGCCGGCGAGACTTGGCGGCGTCCAAGTGGGGATGGGGACATTGGCCAAGCATTCGTGTCTCCCCGACAGACGGCTTCGCAGCGACTCACGAGCACCTAACATAAAGTTGAGCGAGCGAGCCATACATCTAATGTGAGCAAAAAGTAAGGAGTTTGAAGGCGGCAGTGAAAGGCCGACTACGTCAAACCCGCGCGTTGATATGTTGCATGTCCTGAATGCTCACGCTTCCTTCCCCAGCCAGCTCATGTTCACACCGCTGCGTCACAAGGTACCGGGTACATGACGGTTTTACATGAGTTCTAGAATTTACAAGAGAGGCTGTAGATGATGGTTCAACCCTGTACTTGGGCCGGGAGCCAGTGCGATCAGAGGCCCACGGCAGACCTCACAATCTCCATTGTCTCCTCAGCGCTTTGGCGTGCCTTGCGCGTGCCTTCGGCTTCAACATGGTCAAGGTAGCCTCCTTTGTCGGTATCGAGAAGCTCCAGGTAGCGGCTGCTGATGCCGTACAGGCCCTGGCAGACGGCGTCCGAGACCAAGGCCTTAAACTGACGTGGCTGGGCATCGCTGTAGTCCTCGGCAAGCTGGGCTGGACTGCGTCGCTGCGTGTCAAAGATGGACAGGATGTCGAGCAGATTGGAGATTCCAGGTCTAGCTGCCACATCGTAGGAAATGCCAGGGAAGGAGTCAGTATGGGCCGAGGCCACTTTGGCTTGGATTTCCTCTGGCGTGTCTGTGATCAAGATGCGCGAGCGCTCGCTCTGGTCCGACTTGGACATTTTTGATTTGGGGTCGGTGAGAGACATGATGCGATGCACCGTGGCTACCTTTGGAGTTAGCGAATGGGAAGGTCCAGACGTCGACGCTCCCGCTTGTTAGACGGGCGTGGAGGTGAGCAAAAGCCTTACGGGTAATGGTCTCGGGATGGACAAGATGCGGACCGTACGAATGGTTGAAATTGGTAACGCATTCGCGGGCAAACTCTAGATGTTGTTGCTGGTCATGGCCAACGGGTACGTGGGTAGCTCTAGCCGCAGCGAAAGGGGATGAAGACGCAAGAGTCAGCCGGGATAGGCGTCTGTCGCGAGGTAGGCACTCTCAGAACATCTCACCTGTGAACGAGAATGTCGGCTGCCTGCAGGACAGGATAAGAAAAGAGCCCCAATTTGAGTCGCGAGCCGACGGGGCGTTCGGCCAGCTGAGACGTCGGCGACAGATTGAGCTTTTGCTGCGGCCATGTTCAGTCTATAGGTACCGGACGCTGGGCAAGCATCGATCATATGGGCGGCCCTACTTTCCACTGTGTCATTCTCGACAGGTAGCCGACAGATGCGGTGCAAGAGAGGATCCACATGAGCTCCGAGTGCGCGGGAACCTACGACGAGGAGGGCCCGGGGGTGTGAGACCATGGCCGGACAACTGGCCCGGGGGACGGGGACTGACGGAGGACTGGTAGAAGACGGTGCAGCGATCCGGGTCGACACCGATGGCAAGGAGCGCGGCGAGGCTCTCGCGCCGCTGTTTCCTGAGCTTCTCGGGTGATTGCGGAATTGTGATGGCGTGGAGATCGACGATGGAATATACGAGCCTCGTGTCAGCGTCGTGCTGGTGCTGTAGTTGCACCCATTGCCGCAACGCGCCAACATAGTTGCCTAGGTGAGGGACACCGGTGGGCTGTATCCCCGAGAAGACGACCCGAGGCCGGAGAGCTTTGCTGGCAAGATGCATGGGGGATGCGCCGGGCAGTTGGACTCATGAAAAATATCTCGTCCGTCGGTGGTGCGAGACTAGCACCGATATCGCGCAAGGTCCTATCTGGAAGAGCCGAGGCACGTCATAGGAAAGATAAGGAGCTGTTTGAAGGTACCTAATCTTGCACTGCGCGTACTAAGCTATTATTAACCCTCTTGCAAGCAACTGTCCAAGCTAGGCTCCTGTGCCTTTTCGTAAACGTCGTTTTTGGCACACATAAATCATAGCTGCTTAACATAGCCATCACGGACAGTATTACTATCGAGCTGTGGACACCGATTTAGGGCTGTCCACTTAGGCTCGTCTTTAAAAAGCCGCGTGGCATGCACATACTAGACCCCCAGTCAAAGTGTTAGTGGCAATACCGATGTAGCTGTTCCTAGCCGCTCGGTAGGAGAGCCGGATATAGAGGACAAAGCCCGTGGCGAATATAACTCACGTTAGATTCATCCGTAGTAAAACGGTGATAGATGCCCGCCGGCAGAATTAATAGATCGTCCTTCTCAAGCTTAACGCGTATCCAGTTATCTTCCTTGCTTCGGATATCGAAGTATCCCTGCCCGCCGCGGATATAGCGAATCTCCTCGTCCTCGTGTAGGTGCTCGTCGAAGAATGTTTTAACCTTATCCTCGTATACGGCTCCCATCGTAGCGGGCGATACGGTAATTTCGTCGCGATTCTTATAGCCTCGCTCCGCCGCTAGCTTATCGACGTCGTCCATCTCGGGGAGGTAAAAGAATAGCACCCCAAGCTTATTTAACTCGTTAACACTTATAGCGCGTCCCGAGTCGTGAGGGAGACGCTGGTCACCCTTGGCTATATTAGTCGCCGTCGTTTTAAAGGAAGCTAGAGATAAGTGAGCTGTCTAGGGGATAATTGTTTGCCTACCGGAGAGTTGTCAAACATGTATGCCTTCATGGTTTCTTGCAGCGCCAAGCAATGTGTCACCTGTGATTGAGAATCCGGCACGACGTAGGTAGTGGGCGACCAAGACCTGCCCACGGAGGGCGGGGTATTTTCCCCCGCTTGCCATCCTCTGGCTCAGTCCTTGCCTGGCTGTTTAGTAAGCCCTTTTTTTGGGGGCGGCGGGGGCAATCCAGAGCAGCCTGCAACGCCGTAAGACGCGCGTGCCCCGCGTACGCGTTCGCGCCTCTGTCGCGGTTTGTAACGGGTACTTACTCTACACATGATAGCAATTTCATCTCTCGCGGTAGCATAGCAGTCGCTTCCCACCTTTCCTCCACCCCAACGCCGGCTCCTCTCCTCACCATTCCATGTCTTCAGCTATTGGATAGCTGCTCTCCGTCGAACAATCCGCGCAATGCGAGCGCAGGGCCTGGCTTGATGTTTATAATATCGCACTCGCTTGCTCGCCATGGCCCCGAAACCTGGGAAACCATCCGTCGCGTCGGCGGCTCGGCGTGCGCGCCCTAGAGACGTTCAAGGTAGGTTCGTCCCTTTGGTCGGTCGGCCGGTTCATCGGATGCGCGGCTCATGGAAACTGACGGTGACTCCCTCGAAGCCGGCGATCCGATTCCCGTAAAGCACAAGAGACGCTATCGCCCTGGCACCGTTGCGCTGCGCGAAATCAGGCAATATCAGAGTGGCACCAAGCTCCTGCTCCTCAAGCTACCATTTATGCGCCTGGTCAGATCACCTTGTCACCGTGCCATGGAGCGCCCGCTGATGCGCCTGTCAGGTCCGCGAGATAGGCATGGATTTCCGGCCCAGGGGGAGGGAGTTTCGGTGGCAGAGCCAGGCCATTCAGGCCCTACAAGAAGCTGCCGAGGCATTCATGGTCCATCTGTTCGAGGACGCTCAATTATGCGCAATCCACGCGAGAAGAGTTACGGTTATGCAAAAAGATATCCAGCTTGCGAGGCGAATTCGGGGCATTTGGGCTGGCTTGGGATGACTATAGCCGCTGTTTTCAACGGAGGGAGCAACACATTGGGTTCATAGCTCACTCGCGCCGGCGTTTCGGTGTACGATTGTCTGTTATCATGACCAACTGTACTCCATAGAGCCAAGGGATCATGTGCTATTGCAATTCTGAGGGAATCGATTGATACGCGGTTCGAGGCGCTCTAAGGGGAGCATGGGTTAGTAGTACTTGAAATTGAATATCAAAGACAGGCTTACAAGCAACTGTTGTGGGTAGTTCCAGAGGAAAACTAACTTCCATGCATGAAGCTGCGCCGTGTCGCGAAGCGGCCAGGGCCGGCCTCACTGGGACATGCCGGGGCTTGCTGGACACGAAAGATGCATGCAATCAATCGTGAGCATTTCTTCAAAGGCGCTGGGCGTCCGCCCGAGGACAACTCAGGCGGGAGTGTCCATTCTGTTGTCATCCCGGTGGCTGTGATCCTTGTCGCCGTCTGGCGTAAATGGGAAGTTCAGGTGTTTCCAGTCTTCCAGTTCCTCCGTCACCGATCGCATGCGATCACGAATGCTCTCAATGGCGTAGCTTCCGAGCAGAAGGCGCAGAGGCGGGTATGAGCAGTGCGCGAGCTGCCAGACGAGCTCGGCGCACTTGACAGCGCTGGTGGGTTGGCGATCGCCGAGCCACTGCACCATTCTCTTTGCGTGAAGAGCCGGCGATGTCGAGTGGGAATAGCCCGAGCTGGGGAGCTTGATGAGAAAATGGCCCCAGGTCGGCAGTGGGTTGTCGGCTGTGTCCGGCTCGTCGCGCCTGACGAGACCTGGTTCGATCAACGTAGCCTTAATGTTGAACGAGTCCGTTTCGTAGAGCATTGCCTCGATCAATCCCTCGACGGCATATTTGGTGGCACAATAAGGACCCAGGCCAGGAACACCAAGCGCACCCGAAGTGGAGCTGAAGATGAGGTAGCGTCCAGAGTTCTGTCTCCGGAAGTAAGGAAGGGTGGCGTGGATGACGTGAAGGGTCCCCATGAAGTTGGTCTCGAACTGATTGCGCAAGTCGTGCTCATCCTGGTCCTCGCAAGCGCCGATGACGCCGTACCCAGAGCAATTGGCGACAACGTCGATCCGACGAAAGCGGTCGAGTGTGATCTGGACAGCCTGACCAACAGACTCACGGGATCGCACGTCACAGAGGGTGCCGAGGCAGTTCTGGTGGATGTTCGACATGTCGTCGGGGCTCGTTTCAAACACACGGCCAACTGAGGTGACGAGGTCGCCTCGCGAGAGGGCACACTTGACAAGAGAGCGGCCCATGTGGCCGGTGCCACCAAAGACCTAACGAAGGCACAACCGGCGGATGGTGAGTAACGGGCGGCGTTGACAAAAGCGAGCATGGGAGAGGAGAGCAGTAAGGGGGGGTGACATTACGATCCATACGAGTTGCCGCGTAGCAGAGCTGACCGAAGGCGGATCGCAACTCGCCGGCAGCTGAAGCCGCGGCCTGATGGACTGCACGTCGGGAGCGACGTCTGGCACGGGAGCGTCTGGCCGGCTATGTGAGTCCATGTAATCGGTGCAGTTGGCGAGCCGTTGTCGCCCAGCCGGGGGAAGCCGATCAACAAAGCCAGGAGAAGCCGCTTTTCCGCCCCGCAACGTCCACCCTCGGCCATAGCAGGCCGTTGAGCGCTAGTTCATTTTTGCCAGGTACTGTATGTATCTAGATAGATAAGGTATATATATACCTACCTACCTACCTTATATATATATAGGTAGGTGGGTAGGTAAGAGCTGTCAGCGCATCCCATCACACTTATTGAGAGGAACAGGATCCCGTGCTGCATGAATGAATTGCGACGCAACGTAAACGGCAAGGTTCTCGAAACCCCTCACCCCGACCCGACCAAAACTTCCCAGCCGAGGCGACGCGAAGCGGCAGTTTAGCAAGCAGAGCAGTTGAGAAGCTTACAGGCGGGATTGAAGCAACGAGACACGACCATCAAGGCACACCAAGCCAGGCCATAGAGCTCTTGCCCGCCAGCAGAAAGGCAGAAGCAAGACGGAGAAAGGAGCAGCTCGCTCATGCTCGCGCGGGCCCCTGCCGCCCTGTCTGGTCTGAGATTCCTTGGACATCGGCTCCAAATCTGCAAACTGTCTGCCGTAGCCCGGCCATTCGTCACTGGAACCATGACCATGACTCGAGTCGACACTTCGTCCCGCCTAGCCCACTTGAGGAGGTTGATGGAAGACCGCAGTGTCCACATATACAGTGAGTGAGCTATATTCCTCTCTCGGGGCCTGCCCGACCAGGTCTGCCCGCTTCTGGCTGACCCGTCTGGTGACAGTTGTTCCGTCCGAGGACAGCCACAGCTCCGAGTACATTGCCGACTGTGACTCACGGCGAGAATTCATCTCGGGCTTCACCGGCTCGGCCGGGTGCGCCGTTGTCACCTCCGAGGCCGCCGCACTCGCCACGGATGGTCGATACTTCAACCAAGCGGCCAAGGAGCTCGACAGCAACTGGACCCTGCTAAAGCAGGGCCTCCAGGACGTCCCGACGTGGCAGGAATGGGCGGCTGAACAGTCTGCCGGTGGAAAGGTAGTCGCCGTCGACCCCACGCTCCTCTCTGGGCCTGCCGCCAAGAAACTCGCCGAACAGGTCCGCAAAGCTGGTGGCTCGGAGCTTCTTCCCCTAGACGATAACCTGGTTGACATTGTCTGGGCCAAGGGCCGTCCGCGGCGCCCTTGCCGTGCTGTCACCATCATTCCTGATGGTGTTGCGGGCAAGTCTGTCCACAGCAAGATTGCTGAGCTACGACAGGAGCTCGCCAAGAAGAACTGCCTTGGCTTCTTCATTTCCATGCTCGACGAAGTCGCGTGGCTCTTCAATCTCCGCGGCAGTGATATTCCCTACAATCCGGTCTTCTTTTCCTATGCCACAATCACTCCACACGCGGCCACCCTCTACACTGACGACTCCAAGTTGAGCGAAACGTGCAAGTCGCACCTGTCCAACAACAACGTTCAGGTCAAGCCATATGATGCCTTTCTTAGCGACGCCCGGGGCCATCTTGCCGAGTTGAGCGAGAAGAGCACGACCCCGGGAGCCGTGGCGCAGCAGACCTTCCTTGTCTCCAATAAGGGCTCGTGGGCTCTGCAACGTGCTCTGGGGGGTGACGGCTCCGTCGAGGAGATCCGGAGCCCCGTCGGCGACGCCAAGGCCATCAAGAACGAGACCGAGATGGAGGGGATGCGGGCGTGTCACATCCGAGATGGTGCAGCCTTGATCGAGTTCTTTGCCTGGCTCGAGCATCAGCTCGTGGTGGAAAATGCCACGCTGGACGAGGTGCAGGCTGCCGACAAGCTGGAAGAGCTGCGGTCCACCAAGCAGCATTTTGTTGGCCTATCGTTTCCCACCATTTCGGCTACTGGTCCCAAGTAAGTTGACACAACTTGCTCTTGTTGTCATACCGCTGTACGTGGGCCTTCTGGATGGCGAAACTGATTCATGGCTCCCTGTAGCGCCGCCTTGATTCACTACGGTCCCGAAAGGGGGAGTTGTGCAACCATTGATCCGCAGAGCGTGTACTTATGTGACTCGGGGGCGCAGTTCTTGGATGGTACCACTGACACGACGCGGACTCTGCACTTTGGCAACCCCTCGGGCGAGGAAAAAAAGGCTTACACTCTGGTGCTCAAGGGGGTCATAGCACTTGACACGGCCGTTTTCCCAAAAGGCACCACTGGATTTGCTCTGGACTGCCTAGCTCGTCAGCACCTATGGGTGAGTGTCCCGGCATCACGCGTGTGCCGTCTCGCTGCGAGAGCGGCAACGGATTGCTCAACACCGGGGTTTCCCACGTGTACTAACGGCATGCAGAAAACAGGCCTGGACTACCGACATGGCACCGGACACGGCGTTGGCTCGTACCTGAATGTTCACGAAGGGCCCATTGGTATCGGCACCCGGGTCCAGTATGCTGAGGTGTCCTTGGCTCACGGCAATGTGCTCTCCAACGAGCCTGGGTACTACGAGGATGGCCGGTTCGGCGTCCGCATTGAGAACGTTATGCTGGTGAGGGAAGTCGAGACGGACCACTGCTTTGGTGATAAGCCGTTTCTCGGCTTTTCGCACGTTACCATGGTGCCCTACTGCCAGAACCTCGTTGATACGACGCTATTGACGTCTGCGGAGAAGGAGTGGCTCAATGCGTACAGCGCCGAAATTCTGGACAAGACTAGGGGCTTTTTTGAGAACGATCCGTTGACAATGGCGTGGCTCATGAGGGAGACGCGGCCAGTGGATTAGGGGGACTGTCTGGCGGGTGTTTTATCTGCTCCCACCCCCCCAAAGCTTCTCTCCAATGTCTTGCAAGAACCGAATAAAAAGAGTGTCAAGGTGACAACACAAGGGATGGCCCTAGGCCGGAATTGCCTACAGACGCACAAACGCTGCGAGGGTGGAAGTTATTGCGAAAGAGGCCGTGAACCATGGACTGTCAGCACACGCTTTGGTTAGAGAGTAAAGCCGCTGCCGTCTTGCATCCTTGGAAACCAGTAGTCGCGGCATCTCGAATCCGAGGCGGGAGGCGAGCTTTGCTGAGGATTAGTTTCTGACCGTCGACGTAGACTGGAAAAGAGACGTCGTATCACACATGAAGGACAACAGCCACTAGACAGCCTAGGAAGACGGCGGTTCGCGAGAACAAGCTGAGAATGAGGCCAGCAGTGAAGCCTGTGCAGATAATTAGGGCGTCAGCACGCGAGAGAAGAATAGCACGTCTGCGGAGGCTAAGCCGAGGGCGACGTTTGGAAACAAAACAAGCAGGCCACGAACCAGAAAGACTTCCTCTTGACACCTGCCGGGCTATTTGGGGTGATGGCTCGGCTTCCATGGGCCGCAAGGCTCGAGAAGGTGGTGCGTGCGTTCCTGCAGACTGGCTCGAGTCGAGTCGAGCGACGGGGGTGCAGAGCATTGTTGCGCCGACAAACGCCCCTGGGCCGACAAGGCGGGAGGCACGTTGCCGCCAAGGTTGAGTTCTGAATAGGCGGCTCATAGTGAAGTAGGCGACCTCGTTGTTAAACGGGCGTTAGAGAGCATAGTAGGAGGGGGAAGGGATAGTTTTTAAAAACATTACTATATCTTTTAAGTATTGCTATTTACATAATAGCATACTGCTATTTAATTACACACTTACCCTATTTTTAAGATACGTACTAACGCCAGCCCGTCCCGCCTATTTATACCGCGCGCGCCTAGTAAGTACCCGTACCGCCTAAATGCCCGCGCCCGCGCCCGCCTATATATTATTATTAAGATTACGCTAGGGACCTAGCTAGAGGTATCTAGAACTTTAATATTAAATAGGAGGGGAAAACTAGAATGCCTAGGGGAAAACCCTCCCCTCTTTTAGTGCGGGTCCGCCTCGAACGAGGTTATAGTAGTAGTACGTAGGAAATTTACGCCGGCTGCCGCGGGCTCCTCCCGCGCTATTATATCTCGGCCCGGGCTCGCTAGCCCGGGCCTAGGGTTATAGGCAGTAGTCTCTCTCCGGGGACCCGACTCGCGGGCGCCTCTATTTACTATAGCTCCCGCGTTATAGCCGCGTAGCTATAGTCGCGTTAGCTTATCGGTCCGTTAGTTAGTAGGGTAGGTAATATCCGGTTACCGGGCCGGGCGCTAGTATAGGTCGCTCCTAGGTAGGGCCAGCTAATCGAAATTTAGTTAGCTAGCTCCGCTAATCGTAAATCGGTTCCCGTCTAGCTACGCGACTTCTTAATTAAGGGCGCGGCGGCCTATATTTACCTTCTATCTTATAGTTACTAATTATATACGCTTAGCTCGCGCTTATATATACCTACCCTCCCCCCTTAGTTTTATATATACCTCCTTTTATCTTTTTATTATCTATCTCTTTTATAGGCTTAACTATTATAGAGTAAGTAGAGGCGTGCGCGTAGGTGCCGTCTATAGGATAATATTAATAAGCTATATAGAGCTCTCCTATACGCGGCTAGCCCGTATATATATATATAGGATCCGGCCCTCTACACGTAACTATATAGCTTAGGCTATAGCCTAAGCCTATAACCTATAATAGTTAAAGACTCTTATATAATGCCCTCCCTTAAGCGCGGCGCGGCGTTGCCTTATTAATAGCTTCCGTATTATAGGGCCTATGCCGCTAGCTCTACCCTGCCCTTTTCCGTTAATCGTGCTAGCCCTACTAGCCCTATTATCCCCGCGCCTATTAGCCTAGGTAGCCGGAACCGGGCTCTATACTTATCGGCCGGCTAGCCGTTTAAATAGGGGCGTAACCTATTATATATGCCCCTAGGTAGCCGGCGGCCGGCCTAGACCTACGTAAGCCTTAAGTTGCCCGTCCCCTCGGCCTTAGGTAGCCTCCTCTACTTAGGGGTATATAAGGCGGCATCCCCCCTTTCCTCCTTCCTTTCCTTCTCTTCCTTCTTTAACCGTAGTAGTAATAGTAATAGGTAAGTTCCGCTCTACCTAAGGCGTTAGTTTATTCTTAGCTATACGGGCTACTTTATTAACGTATACTTATAGTAATAGCTATAGTAGTAATAATAGCCCTAATAATAATAACTTTAACTAGTAAGTTCTCCGCCTTATAAAGCGGGAGGCCGTAATCCGTAATACTAACTTCCGCGATAGATATATCTACCTCCCCCTCCCCTACTTCCTCCTTCTCGGAGCATATAGAGTCGTTCGTCGACGCCGTGCTAGGCACGGCCGACGACGGCTCCGCCGCTGCCGCTGCTCCTGCCCGCGCCCCCGCGACCGCGCCTACCGCCGCCGCCTCTGCCTCTGCTACGCTAGCCGCCCTCACGTCGCCCTTCCGGGTAACGACGCCGTCCCCGCCGCCGGCCATAACGCCCGGCCCCTCTGCCCCCGCCTCCGCTACTACCACCCCTATAAGTCCGCTGCCTAGCGAGCGTAGTAGTTATTTTCCGCTAACTTCTTAAAGTATAAACGCTAAGTATAGGCCGGAGCCGCCCGCGCGGCCCCTTATATACGGTGCGCGTCGTAGGAGCTCCCCTACGCTAACTAAGTCGGGCGCCGCTATAGCGGTAGTTATTACTAGTACGCGCGTACCGGCCGCGCCTATAAGGCGGCGCCTCCCGTCCTGCTCGCTACGGCGTCGGCTTAAAAGGCTAGCGCGCACGGGTAGGCACGGGGGGCTACTAAGAAGCGCCTTACCGCCGCCGCCGCCGCCTACCGTAATCTCCGCGCCCTTAAGCGCTAGGGCCTCGTCCCTAAGTAAGTTCCTTTTATCTAGCTCTTCTACTTCCGCTACTAACTCTCCTAGCACTAGGGACACTACCTCTATCGCCCTATCGGCGGTCCCCTTAGCCGTGCCCGCCGCCGCCCCCGCCGCTGCTACTAGCCGGGCCCCCCCCGCCCCTAGAGCCCCTAGAGCCGCCGCTGCCGCCGACTAGCGAGCGGGCCTAGAGGGCCGCCTAAGCGCCTTAAAGAGCGCCGCCGCCGCTAATAAGGTAAAGGAGGACGACGAGGATAAGGATAAGGACGACGATAAGAATAAGGAGTAGGTCTAGGTAGTCTAAGGGCTCTACCTTAAAATAAACGCTATTTTTATCTCTACTTATATAATTACGCTCGCGTTATCGTAACTACCTACTCCGCTTTACCTACTTTATAGTCCTAGCCTAAGCTACTATCGGTAGTCCGCTAGTCTATTATTCTTATTTACTATTTTAAATAAGGCTTTAAACTTATCGAGGGCTATAGTTCCCGTAAACTTACGTATAGGTTCCTATATAGGGTCGAGATACCCGCGCTACTTAACGAGGACCTCCTAGCGTTTCCCCCTACCGACCTTTTTCTATCGCGCGGCCTATATCTCTTTAACCTTAAACTCGTCCTCTCCCTCTACCTCGATTATAGGCGGTTAGGCGTTCGCTATTTCTTATCTAAGTAGCGGGTTAAAGGAGGCTCTATAAAGGAGGTCTACGTTAATCTTATTATAGACCCTTATTAAGAGACTATCGAGCTCTATAACCTATAGGCTAATAACCCTTTATACTATAAACTTCGTATATAGCTAGTTAAGCTTCTTCTTTAGTCGTGCCGACCTATAGTTATAGAGGTCTAGCTATACTTTATCTCTTACCGCGAACTTATCTACTAGGGCCCTAGTCTTATTAGCGTGCCGCTCTTAATCTTATGCCGCGGCGGCTATCGCGGATTAGTAATAATCTATAGTCTCCTATAGCTTTTATATAAATATAGAGGCGCGGCCCTCCGGTAACGAATTACTATACTACTCTACTACTATATCTATAGTAAAGGGAACTAGTAAGGGTAGTTCGAAGCTATACGTTATAAAGAAAGGAGCTATCTTAATAGAGGTATATAGTCTACTATTTAACGTAAGTTAGGCCGCGGGGAGCTACCGGTCTTAGTCTACTTAGTTATAGGCTATAATAGCCTATAGGTAAGCCTATGCCTCCTAGTTAACTCTCTTAGGCCCTTTATTAGTCTATAGGTAATATACCGTGCTAAGTAGCTATATAATCTAAAGTAGCTAGTATAGGTACTACTAAAAGCGGCTAGTTTAATTCGATCCCTTATTACTTATAATAAAGGCTAGCTAGCTATATAAGCGGGCCTAGTACTATAGGAAGCGCTCTATATAAGACTCTATATTTATAGATAGTATCGGCTCTAATACTATAGACTTACTAAGTCGGTCCTTAATTACCTATATATAGCGGTTGCCGCCCTCTATAAGTAGGAGGTCTATTATAAAGTCTATCTATATATATATATAGAACCGGTCGGGCACCGGAAGCTACTTAAGTAGCCCCTTAAGCTATACCCTTTAGATCTTTATATAGCTATAGATATTATAGTTATAGAGGAAGCGACGAACGTAGTACTATAGGAAGGGCTAGTAAAAGTCCCTTATAAGGCCTACTACTATGCCCTATCTACCTAGGTAACCTACGACGCTAGAGTTATAAATAAGTTAGACTAGCCTCCTTTAGAGCTCGTTCTATTCGTCTAGCTCTAGCGGTCCCTCCTTCTCCTTAGCTTCTATAGTATATAGTGCGCCTGGTACTTATAGTCTCCCCCGCTAGCGTAGATACCCCCGTAAGTTAATATAGTAGTCGGCTACCTATACCTTTAGCTTTAGCTTCGGATCTAAGCGTTAAGCGCTAGACTTAATAGCGCGGCGCACGCCCTCGTAGGTGCGGTCTAGAGCCGCTATCCTATCCTATAAGCGTTAAAGGGCCTTATCTTAAAATACTCTTGCCGCGCGCGCC